AGCAGTGAGGTGGTGGGCCCACCCACAGGATCGACCCAGGAGGGTCGACCTGCTCTGATAGCATGTCGAGATAATGAGTAGAAAGTTTAGAAGCAGAAAGAGGGGTTTCACTAGCAGCAATGAGGATACATATAGCAAACCCTAGATGGGTTGTACTCGCTACAGAGCACCCCACTACAGGCTAGAGAATAACATTCTGACAGAGTTTCCACTAGTTAAGTTGGAATTCCATAATGATTCAACAAGCAATGACAGAATGACTACATCAGGCACCTAGCAACTCTGCAGCTAGCCTGGTCGACAGCCAGCACAGCTCGGTCGACCGCGCGCCAGCGTTGCGTAGAGGAGCCGCGCCAGCACTGCAGAAAGGCGACCTGCCAACGCTTCAGGTCGACGGCGTGCCAACGCTGCAGCAATGCGGCTGTCCAGCGTTGCCCCGTAGAAGACAGCAGTGCGTACGCTCGCAGGTGCGCGCAGACGATTGGCCCGACTTGCCCCGTTGTGCAGCTGTCGGCTGTTGTCTGCGCCTGACGAGCCACATCGACTTCGGGATACCAGCCCGCAGTCGCCTTCGTCATCGCAATCTCGACGACGTTCGCGTGCCTCCGCCGAACTCGTCGAGCAGGTTACCCGGTCGATCCGGACACCACCAGGTGCTCCGGTCGACCACCAGGTGCCTCTGGTCGACCACGACTCCCGTCGAGCTACCCCCTGGTCGACGGACCCCTTCCGTCGACCAGAACTGCTCCGTCGACCTCCCGGTCGAGCTGCAGGTCGACGGGATGCTTCGCGGACCTCCCGGTCGAGCTGCAGGTCGACGGGATGCCCCCCAGTCCTCCCGGTCGAGCTGCAGTTCGACGGGATGCTCCAGAGACCTCCCCATCGAGCTGTAGGTCGACGGACTGCTCCGTCGACCTCCCGGACGGCCCACCCATCGCCCAGGCCAGTAACTTGCGCCCGTCGAGCACTCCTGGTCGACGGAAGCTCCACAGTGACATCCTGCAGCTCGACGAAGCCCGTCGAGCAGCTCCTTCACTGCGAACGGTCGGCTGCTTCACCCGTACATCCGACCAAGTCGTCGGCATTGCCCAAGCGAGGGCGGGGCCAACACTCCATTCCCATTAACAATAGGTTTCTCTCCAACTGACGCAATCGAAGAACAATCAGGCAACCTCTGTAGATAACCCACAGTGGGGAGGCCCCGCTACACGATGAAGCTAGGGTCAATCCTATCTAGTATATCAATCACGACTGAGAATGTGTGCACTTCTTGTAGTGTACTAACATTAGCAAAAATAAAAAAGAAAGAAAGAAAGAAAAAGATAGGCCTATCTGACTATGTAGTGGAAGCCTTTTAGTGATAGGAACCTTGTTACATAGTGATGACAAGATTGATTAAAGTAAAAAATGTTACATAATAAAAAGATCCTAGCTATCAATGTGCTCTAAAGATTATACCTACAGTATTGCTACAGTAAACACGACTATTGTGCTTCTTCAGTTACCGGATTGCTGCATGTCATTGTAAATACTGATATGTCTGTTGCCATTCTTCGCAGGTAACCGATCGGTCCACGTTGGTCAACAGTCGCCACAGTTAACTTGCGATCGTTGACCTGCGTGCCCTATATAGGCTACCGCGTTACTGATACATGCGTTGCTTCGGTAACACTAGGTGCGATGTTGTTGCACATTCAGAAATGGTAAGCAATTCCCTCTTAGTCCAATAGGGCTCTATCCTGATTGCGTCGTGGAAATAACTCTTGCAATGTAATTTGCATAACCATGACAATAAACCTGGACTCAAATACAGTAGCATAAAGATAGGTGATTGCAAAACTTTGTTGTAGGGCGTCAAAGGGTGTGGCTTGTAAAGTGTTTGATTGTGAAGGGTGGGTGACAGCATTCAAATTCATTGTACACCCTGTTTTCCGCTACACTGAACCGCGCAAGACCGCTACTGTTTCTTGGCATTATTCGGGATTTTTCCACTACCGAAACCAGTCAACCTTCCCTTGCAGGTGGGTGTTATGAGGGGAGATTCGTAAAATTCATATTCCCTAGATACCATTCTCAACCATTCCTTAAAACTCCAGTTTACTTTTGAAAACGTAACCCATCACACTGGATCGCGTAGGCTCAAAATTCACTATAACGCAGGTGATAGCACGCTTCTGTACGGGGTGAGTTTCCACTAGCGGATAATTCAGTATACCAGAATTCACTATGGCGAGAAAGAAGGTGTAGCAGTCATACATGACCACAGTCGCACGCACATGGGCGGCCTCCACAAGCAGCATCTCTCATGCACGGAGACACAATCTGCACCATGTCATCCTTTTCGTGAGACCATCCATGACGACAACACACCACCGCACTTGTCCACTTACTGAACAAACGCGGTTGTGCACAGTAGCGAAAGTGAGCTATTTTGAGCAGCATTGAGTCCGCGGCTGCCGCGGGCTCGTCTTTGGGAATCAAGCAAGAGCCCACGCCGTCGACAGCAAATCCGCTGGCTGGTGTGTGGGCCGTAATGTATTATGAAGCTTCCCAGAAGCGACACTTTTAGTGACGTTGCATTGCAAACAATTTCCGCCGCACTTGGCAAGTCAGGACGACGCGAGAATTTCACAGGGCGCGCACTTCTCCAACGAACAACAAACTGTACAGTACAGTCTTTAGTACAATTGATGCCTGTTTGAGCCCCTCCCGGTTGCCTTATGAAGGGGGCGTATAAGCTGTCACGAGCAGTTCGCATAAGTTTCGTCAATTCGCAGCTAGCTAAAAAGAACTCGCATGTGCTTATAAACAAGACTCTGCTACCTAGTTACCTAGTTTGACTTCAGTCTCTTCTGCTTGACTTCGGTCTCTTCTGCTTGACGCGCTTGTAATGTAGGTGCATAAGGCTGGGGAAACAACCTCGGGTGCAGCGTATCCATCCGGCGCATGGAAATTCGCGTGCATGGGGTGAGCATCAATTGTATAAGACTCTGTCGTTGATTGACTGGATGGAATGGAAGGCTGTTGTGAACCAGGGCCCTCTTTTCGTTTTTAAGTCACCCTTTCATATCATGCTTGGCAGGAGAGAAAATCCGGGTAGTAGCAAGGCGTTTCGGATCGACACTGGATGTGTGGTTGGATTGTTATTTCCAAGAATCCCGCAATGCAGGTTCTAGATGAAAACTTCCACTTGACGGTAGTACACGCCGACGAGTGGAACAGCAACCACCCCACACATGCCTGGACGCTTCTCCCTTTCTCATCCTTCTTTTCTCTGCGCGCTGGTTTGCAAGCACCTAAAATAGTTTCTCAAAGTGTTCGCCGTAGCACTTAAAATTGCTAAATTCCAGTGCACGACGAGTCAGCGTCCCACCTGTAGTGTTTACGCTGAGCTCAATGTTTCATTCTTCCCTCGGTGTTGGGTGTGTGTCTTCTTTCGTTGCTGTGTAATTCAAACTCACGTAGATAGGATGGACCTGGAGTTCCACAAGCCCACAGATTATTTCCGGGATACGAGCAGTAATTTATACTCTGAAATCTGTACAACCTAGCCCGCGCTATTTTCACGCCCTGCAACTTGTTTCGGCAAGCACCCCTAACCCGATTTTGGCTTTTACCAATAAACTCCCAAAATTTGAAGGCTACAAACCACTCAGCCAAGTGTCGAGATATTAAAAAAAAACCGCACTCTTACCACGGCGACTCGACCATAGTTTATTGTGACCCGTTTTTCATCCCCTCTAACTCGTCAGAGATGTCTGAAACGTACCCTCTTTAAAACGAAAGCATTCAAACAGTCTTTTAATATCGAGTAAATCAGAAATAATTACACAGGGGGGTGAAAATGGCGCTAGTGAATTTGGCGCGGGCTAGGCGCTTCGCATAGAAAAGTGCGCGCCGCCCTAGTTTACGCGTGCTGCTACGTTTCTTTGTGAACTACTGTACAGCAAAGGAGATCGTTACGAAACGACGACAGTCGTATCGCTTCACCCTGACAGTATCTTTTCGCCGTCTTGTTAGGTTTGGATCTCGCAGACACATCCGTGTACAACACAGGACTACTAAAAAAAATATATATATTTTCGTGATGTTGTTACGCTCGTCACAATTTATGGAATGTTTCGGTGCGTAAATTTTGTTATTCCTTCTGGTTGTGTTTTGCTGGTGTGCCCCAAGCATGCCGTGGTTGTGTTGGGTTGCATGCCGTGGTTGTACGTGACCGATGGAGGGCTTCGGTTCGTCTTGTGTGGATGGGTGGGATGGCTACGCCGCTGTCGTCTCCCCGTATCTGCATTCAAGGAATTTTGATTCCTTCCCATGGCTGCTGGAAACAGCTGAGTGCCCGCCAAAATTTAGGGAGAGTATCGGAATGTGTCTAACAAAACTGAATTTCGTACCCATTTCCACTGGAAGTCGAGAGGGACTTTCAGAACAACTGCCCTGATTTGAAAACTCGCCAGCTTCGACCCCCAAAGCATCACCTAAACAAACGCGTAATGGTCCCACGCCTCGCCTGGCGGCAAGTTTTACATTTTTGTTTTCCTGCTGCGAGGCACCCACTTTTCCTCTTTCTCAAACGGAGTTCAGGAAGAACTGTAGCATTGGCCTGCGGCTTGACCCCTTCACCTTCCGTCCTTCGTCACTGGACACTGTTTCCAACCAGCAGCCAATCCCAACCACGAACCCCTCGCATGGGTTGAAAAATTTTCATATTTGCTTTTCATATTTTGTTTCATGTTTACCGCATTCACTCCTGACAGATTTCGACCATTACAGATTCATCAGCAATGCGACCTCACTCTCTCAATGACTTGGAACCAGAGAGGGACGCGCCAGCACCTGTGCACGCAGCACTCTCTGCGAGCGCTGTGCAACATCCGCGAGACGAAACCTCGCCTCACACAGAACCCAGCATTCGAGAGCTCTTGGAAAAACTGAAGCAGTGGCGGCAAATTCGGCGGGGCGAGCAGACTTGGTCTCAAAACGAGGACTCGGCGGCAATGGACGCGCCATCTCCGCCGGAAGCTCAAACGTCGAGTCCTCCTAAGAGAAAGGTCCCCGACATGGAAGCGGGGACGCAGGCTGACACGATGATGTTAGAGGAGGACCAACCAGTGAGGCACAAGGAGCCACGATGGGAGCCGGCGACTCATCCTCGCGACGACCAAGCTGCGAGCCCGAATCGGAGGTACTTTCGTGACGAAATTGATTTTCCTGGTCACGAGCGCGGAGACTGGAACACTCACCAGCAGCCGCCCGACGCGGTTCGGTTACTTTCCACAGTGGCGCAGGCGCAAGACGCGGCGCAGGACGCGGCGCAAGGGGCGCCATACACGCAAGAGGCGCCAAACGCGCGATGGGTCGCGCACGAACCTCAAGGAGCGCCGCTAGACAGAAGCAGCAGCGCCGGAAGCGCTGGCGTCATGCTCTTCGGATGCAACATTTCCATTTCCCCGCCCGCAAGCCGCGATTTCCAAAATCCGTGCGGAACTGCGGAACCGGCGGAACCCCTCGACAGAGTGGAACAACGGCGCGCTGGCAGAGCAGCATCATATTCCACCCGCGAGACAGCAATTTCGTCAAACCCTGCTTGGGGGCGCAGCGCTTCCGCAAGAATATCGACGCCTGCTGGCGGCATGGCAATCGACGACCTCGTTTATGACGACGCCGCGAATGCCCCTCAGATCCCCACCTCGAACTCCTTCCCCACAGCTCGGATTCGCTCGCAACCTAGTGCGGCTTACTACACACTAGCGGCGACAGAATCAGCAGCGGCGCAACCGGATGCTACACTCGCTTCTGCCAGCGCATCGGCGACCATTGGGATTGCCGACGGAAGGTCTCCGCACCCCTGGGGCGTAGCCGCACCGAATCGCACTTCCGCGGAGATAAACCCTGCTGATCTGGCCTTTGCGCGACGGCTGCTCGAGACGAACATACGGGACGACGCGACGTTGCGAAGCGCGACAGACCCGTCAAGATCTAGTCACACACGCGAGACGTTTCAAGAAGCCGCGTCGCGCTCAGCAACGGATTTCCGCGAAGGCCTCACGGGACGCAGCTGGAGCGGCGGCGCGCTCGACGACGCCGTCCATCGCGGCGCAGCGGAGAAATCTCCGCCCGCCGAACGGCTGCGCTTGGTCGTGCAAGCGCTCCAGGACGAGCCGCCGCCGTTAAACCCAGAGTCTACTAATAGCGGAGCAGTCGATGCAGCAGCAGGAAGCAGCGGCTTTGCGTTCGGCGGTTGGCCCTACACCCCTGCCGCGCTACAAGCCCTGCTTGCTACGCACGCCGCCAACGCCGCGGCACCGCGTGCGGCGGCTACCGCGCCGCCGCCGGGGACCGGCGCGTCTGCGGAGGTAGCACTATCACGCCACCCACACGGTGCAAGCAGCGTCGCCGCGCAGGGTGGACTAACCCTAAACCCCCCGAGAGCCCGGCTCGACCCGCCGGCGGACGTTCTCCTTGTGGGGGAAAACGCTCGCAGGGTCGCTGCGCCAACGACTGCGGGGGAAGCGGCGCCGATGGGGTCCAGCCCCACGCGGCGGAATGCAGGGAACGACCGCGGAGCTGCTAATACTATGGGGGACGGATCGACAAGTGCGACGGGTGGGGCGCTCATAGCGGAGACGGGCGACGGGGCGAGGAAAACCGTATCGCCGCGGCGACGGTTTCGCTGCACGGTGTGCGACCGTCGATTCTCGTCGGGGCAGGCGCTAGGGGGACATTCGCGCATGCACGCCATGCAGCAGCGCGCGCAGGAGGAGATGGATCGGTGAGCCGCGGATGCGGTGTCTGGGGTGGCAGGAAGACGGACGGGGGGGAGGGAGGAGGCTGCGTCGCAAAACGCTCTAGTACAAACGTTTTCCACTCCCGCACTCGCGTCACGTAGCTGTCGTACATCGCCACGCATGACGTAGCTGAGTCACGTCCAACTATGGAATACTAAACTCTCTATAATGCACGCGGCGGCGCACTAGGTATTCGAGGCAAGCAGCGCCCGACCCACGTTAGACACGGCATGCTGCAGAACCTGGTTTGCATTCTATAGATAGTGCGAAGATGGTTAATGGAGCTTAGGGTTTCGAGCTTGGGTTTCATCACGGAGCAATGAGCTTTTGGGTGCTCTCTCCCTTCTAGGTCGCTGGGACTGGGTTGGGAGGCACGAGTGGATGGTGTCTCTCCCTCCCTGTGTAATCAGGGCTGCACCAATTCCTAGGTGCCAACTCCTAGGTGTAGAGTTTGGCACCCGTATTTTGTTTCCACTATAGTTAGAACAAAGCTTGTGTTGATATATCACATATATACATATTATGATCTTATGACTCTGTGCACATTGCATTACAAGACAGGTCAACAGTCTTGGAACCCCTGGAAGTAAAAGAGGGGAAAGAACACAGCAAAAATGAGATGTCAGGAACTTGCACAGCTCAATATCCCTCCTCCAATCGATCACGGAGATGATCACCGTCAAAGCAAATGAAAAGGCTTAGAAATTGTTCGAAACTTGCAACACTCTCATTACAAATCCCTCCCTCCCCTCCCACATCTTCCAATGCCCCATCTCCCTCCCCCCCTTTTCCACTCTATAATCCCTCCGTTACCCCAAACACCCCCCCTCTCGTCCCCTCCGCTCTTCCTTTCTCCCCCCTACCAGCACGGTCGTACTTATTGGAGCCATGTGAGCCAATGACAGCGTCGCCCGAGGCAGAGAAGGCCCAGATGAGGCGGTTGGATCCGAGGTAGTTCACCGGGGCTATTCCTGCTGACCCGCTTCTGGTGAACCTGCCAGTGCAGATGGACAGAGGGACAGGGACGTTTTAGAGTGAACAAAAAATCATCTCTGGTTGGATCCGAGGTAGGCCAGCCACTCCTGCCGATCCGCTTCGGGTGAACCTGCCACGGCAGAGCAGAGAACAGTTGCGGTGATGGTTGTCGGGTTGGCTCAGATAACGCGCTTCTGGAGTTGGGTTCGGATATGACATAGCAGCCACTCCTGCTCACCCGCTTCCTGTGAACCTGCCAAACCAGCTCAAGAAAGGAGAGTCGAGAGGGCGACAAGGGGGACTGGCATGTGGTTGCAGGAGAGGCAGGGAGAGGTAGGGAGAGGTAGGGAGAGGTAGGGAGAGGTAGGGAGAGGTAGGGAGAGGTAGGGAGAGGTAGGGAGAAAAGGGAGAGGTAGGGAGAAAAGGGAGAGGTAGGGAGAGGTAGGGAAAAAAGGGAGAGGTAGGGAGAGGTAGGGAGGGGTAGGGAGAGGTAGGGAGAGGTAGGGAGAGGTAGGGAGAGACAGGGAGAACTGGGATGATGCAACGGCAAGTCCTGCTGATCTTTTTGTGCGGACCTGTTCAGCCAGCAGTAGCAATTCACTCGACAAAGCGTCTTAGGGAGTCTCCAAATACCCTCAGATATATATGGGCCAAAAAACTCGACCGAATGGCTCGGCCGAATGGCTTGGCATCCCGTCAATGCCGTGTGTCCCGTGGCAAGACATTGGACCTGCCTGCTGGCTGCCTGCCCTGCCTCATTGCTGGATATCCGTGTCAATGCTGCCACCCATACTGCTCCCAACACCACAACGCACTTGCATGAGCAGCACGCCGCTGAAGCCCGAGTGGTGGGGGCCACGGAGCTGTGGCTGGAAATGGCGTATGTCTTGGCAGCACCCCCCCAAGGCCCCCCAGTAAAGCACTTACTTGAGCAGCACGCCGATAAAGCCTGAATTCACCGATCCCCCAGTGATGCTGAAGCGAGAGGTGGGGTCCACAGAGCTGTAGCTCGTGATGGCGTACGTCTTGGCTTCACTCCCAGGCTCTCCAAAAAAACACTTACTTGAGCAGCACGCCATTAAAGCCCAAATTCACGGACCCGCCAGTGATGGCAAAGCGAGCGGTGGGGTCCACAGAGCTGTAGCTCGTAACGGCGTATGCCTTTGCGGTGCCCCCAGGGGCCCCAATGACAGCGTCAGCAGGGACCATGTTCCCGCTCTTGGACCATGCCACTGACACCCACCCCCCCGCTGCTGCTGATGCTGAAACACCATCCAAGCACTTACTTGAGCAGCACGCCATTGAAGCCCGAGTTCACCGATCCCCCAGTGATGGCAAACCGCGAGGTGGGGTCCACAGAGCTGTAACTAGAAACAGCGTATGTCCTGGCAGAACCCCCAGGCGCGCCAATGACAGCGTCAGCAGGGACCATGCTTCCGCTCTTGGACCACCCCACTGACACCCACCCCCCCGCTGCTGCTGCCGTGCCCGCCCTGGCCTGCAGGCAGAAGGCGGCGCTGCTGGTGGTGAGGAGCTTCCAGTGCAGCATCAGACTGGGGGGAGGGGAGGGCGGGGAAAAGAGGAAGAGCGGGAGGATGAGAAAGTGAAGATCTCGCAAGAGACTGACTCCACTGCACCCCCAGGCGCGCCGATGACAGCGTCAGCAGGGACCATATTGCCGCTCCTTGACCATGCCACTGACACCCATCCCCCAGCAGCTGCTGCCGTGCCCGCCCTGGCCTGCAGGCAGGAGGCGGCGCTGCTGGTGGTGAGGAGCTTCCAGTGCAGCATCAGACTGGCGGGGATGGGTGGGGAGGGGACGGGAGGACGGGAGAATGTGGAGTTTGAGTGGCTTGCAGGGTGACGAGGCACGTGTGGTGGGGGTGTCTCAGAGTGCAAGGCCCATGTGGCATGAGAGTCGCATGGGGGGGCTAGGAAGGATCTGTCCAGGGGTGTGGTCAGGGAGAGCGGTTTGGGCCTAGCTGGTAAGGGAGGGCGGTTTGGGCCTAGCTAGCATGACGTCAAACTCGGCTCTCACCGCTGTGACTCTCATGCGACCTGGACTCGCATGGGATGCTGGTTGTTGAGGGGACATTCGTAAGGGAATCATGCAGACAGGCATTTTCCAGTGGAGTGCGGGAGGGGGGCGAGTAAGGGAGCGAGTGGTGGAGGGAAACAGAAAGACAGAAAGACAGGAGTGTGAGAGGGTTGCAATGCGGAAAAGGAGACACGAAGTGGGAGCAGGGGGAAGGAGGAATGAGGGCAGAAAGGAGGAGGGAGAGAGAGGGGCTGATTAAGTGCAACAATGCTCTGTGCTCTCGAGAGTGAGTGGCTATCATGCTGGGCTAATCACACAGGTTGGGCGTCTGAAGTAACACGTTCCCCCCCCAAGCATAATATCGCCTTACCCCTTAACTCCTTGTTCCTTCCCCCTCGCCCCTTGCTTCTTTCCCCTCGCCCCTTGCTTCTTTCCCCTTGCCCTTCTACCCTTGCCCAGGGTAGCTCACCAAGGGCAACTCCCCCTTGCCCAGGGCAACTCACCCCTTGCCCAAGGTAACTCACCCCTTGCCCAGGGTAACTCACCCCTTGCCCAGGGTAACTCGTCCCTTTCCAGAGTAACTTACCCCTTGCCAAGGGTAACTCAGCCCTTGCCCAGGGTAACCCCTTGCCCAGGGTAACTCACCCCCTGCCCAGGGTAACTCACCTCTTGCCCAGGGTAACTCACCCCTTGCCCAGGGTAACTCACCCCTTGCCCAGGGTAACTCACCCCTTGCCCAGGGTAACCACGGAGGTGTAGCCGGGAAGACTGGAAGCCGAGCAAGACGTCTTGCGGGAGCCGAGGCAGTTAGAGGAGGGCGGGGGGGAGGGAGTGCGGGTGGGCGGAGGAGGGGAGGAGTCGTAGGAGGTATCGCCTTCCCCACTGCCATCCCCAGTGCCATTGCCATTGCTCCCACCATCGCCATCGGCGGTGCAGGAGAAATCGACGATTGAGATCCCCCTGAGGGGAGCAGAGCGAGGGGGGTGAGGGGTGAGGGGCGAGGGGCGAGGGGCGAGGTGCGGGGGGCGAGGGGCGGGGGGAGAAGGCAGAGCAGCAGAAACAACTACTGATGTTTGATGGCTGTGGAAGACTGCGACGAAAAGTGGAGCCAAACAGAGGTGCGATGCCATTGCCACCCCTGGGCAGTCCTGATTTTGCGTCAAACAGACGACAAGGGGCAGTAGCGACAAGGGGCAGTAGCGACAAGGGGCAGTAGCGACAAGGGGCAGTAGCGACAAGGGGCAGTAGCGACAAGGGGCAGTAGCGACAAGGGGCAGTAGCGACAAGGGGCAGTAGCGACAAGGGGCAGTAGCGACAAGGGGCAGTAGCGACAAGGGGCAGTAGCGACAAGGGGCAGTAGCGACAAGGGGCAGTAGCGACAAGGGGCAGTAGCGACAAGGGGCAGTAGCGACAAGGGGCAGTAGCGACAAGGGGCAGTAGCGACAAGGGGCAGGGGAAGCGGATGGCAGACATGCTCCTGTGAAGCAGCGGTTCCCCCCACCCTCCCAGCCATGGCCGCCCCAGCAATTCGCTTCTCACAGCTGCGGTGGCAGCATGGAGCGATGCAACATGGGCAGTGGAGCGATGCACCATGGGCAGTGGAGCGATGCACCATGGGCAGTGGAGCGATGCAACATGGGCAGTGGAGCGATGCAACATGGGCAGTGGAGCGATGCAACATGGGCAGTGGAGCGATGCAACATGGGCAGTGGAGCGATGCAACATGGGCAGTGGAGCGATGCACCATGGGCAGTGGAGCGATGCACCATGGGCAGTGGAGCGATGCAACATGGGCAGTGGAGCGATGCAACATGGGCAGTGGAGCGATGCAACATGGGCAGTGGAGCGATGCAACATGGGCAGTGGAGCGATGCACCATGGGCAGTGGAGCGATGCACCATGGGCAGTGGAGCGATGCACCATGGGCAGTGGAGCGATGCAACATGGGCAGTGGAGCGATGCAACATGGGCAGTGGAGCGATGCACCATGGGCAGTGGAGCGATGCACCATGGGCAGTGGAGCGATGCAACATGGGCAGTGGAGCGATGCAACATGGGCAGTGGAGCGATGCAACATGGGCAGTGGAGCGATGCAACATGGGCAGTGGAGCGATGCAACATGGGCAGTGGAGCGATGCAACATGGGCAGTGGAGCGATGCACCATGGGCAGTGGAGCGATGCAACATGGGCAGTGGAGCGATGCAACATGGGCAGTGGAGCGATGCAACATGGGCAGTGGAGCGATGCACCATGGGCAGTGGAGCGATGCACCATGGGCAGTGGAGCGATGCAACATGGGCAGTGGAGCGATGCAACATGGGCAGTGGAGCGATGCAACATGGGCAGTGGAGCGATGCAACATGGGCAGTGGAGCGATGCAACATGGGCAGTGGAGCGATGCAACATGGGCAGTGGAGCGATGCACCATGGGCAGTGGAGCGATGCAACATGGGCAGTGGAGCGATGCAACATGGGCAGTGGAGCGATGCAACATGGGCAGTGGAGCGATGCAACATGGGCAGTGGAGCGATGCAACATGGGCAGTGGAGCGATGCACCATGGGCAGTGGAGCGATGCAACATGGGCAGTGGAGCGATGCAACATGGGCAGTGGAGCGATGCAACATGGGCAGTGGAGCGATGCAACATGGGCAGTGGAGCGATGCAACATGGGCAGTGGAGCGATGCAACATGGGCAGTGGAGCGATGCAACATGGGCAGTGGAGCGATGCAACATGGGCAGTGGAGCGATGCAACATGGGCAGTGGAGCGATGCAACATGGGCAGTGGAGCGATGCAACATGGGCAGTGGAGCGATGCAACATGGGCAGTGGAGCGATGCAACATGGGCAGTGGAGCGATGCAACATGGGCAGTGGAGCGATGCAACATGGGCAGTGGAGCGATGCAACATGGGCAGTGGAGCGATGCAACATGGGCAGTGGAGCGATGCAACATGGGCAGTGGAGCGATGCAACATGGGCAGTGGAGCGATGCAACATGGGCAGTGGAGCGATGCAACATGGGCAGTGGAGCGATGCAACATGGGCAGTGGAGCGATGCAACATGGGCAGTGGAGCGATGCAACATGGGCAGTGGAGCGATGCAACATGGGCAGTGGAGCGATGCAACATGGGCAGTGGAGCGATGCAACATGGGCAGTGGAGCGATGCAACATGGGCAGTGGAGCGATGCAACATGGGCAGTGGAGCGATGCAACATGGGCAGTGGAGCGATGCAACATGGGCAGTGGAGCGATGCAACATGGGCAGTGGAGCGATGCAACATGGGCAGTGGAGCGATGCAACATGGGCAGTGGAGCGATGCAACATGGGCTGTGGAGCGATGCAACATGGGCAGTGGAGCGAAGGAAGGCAACGTTGAGGCAAGGGAAGGGAGGGGAGGCTGACCGGTAGAAGGGCGGCAGGGTGGGGTTGGCGGAGGAGTCAGTGGTGAAGGCCCACAGCAGCCGGTTCCTGCCGTAGTAGCTCACTGGCACCGAGCCGTCCGCCCTTTGACGCGAGAACCTGGCTTGCAAAAGTGAAGTGAGGGTGAGAGGAGAGGATTGAGTGGTGTGGGGGGGGTTAGAAGTGGAGTCAGTGGTGAAGGCCCACAGCAGGCGGTTCTTGCCGTAGTAGCTCACTGGCACTGCCCCGTCCGCCCGCTGGCGGGAGAACCTGGGTTGCAAAAGGGGGTTGAGTAGAGAGAGGAGTGAAGAAAGTGTGAGGGGAGGGGATTGACTGCTATGATGGGGCCATAGTAGCTCCCTGGCACCGAAGCATCTGCCCTTCGTCGCGAGAATCTGGGTCGGAGAGGGAGCGGGAGAAAACGGGGCAAGTGGGCCGGCTGGTGGTGACTGCGGCATGCTCATGCTGCCAACCCTTCTCACGCATCGCTGAATAACCACAAGAATGAACGGGCCAAGTGGTGGGAGAAACCCGTTCTTCTCGCAGCAAGCCTCCTCAATGTGAATCCCTCCCTGTACACTCCACTCACTTCACAGCAGCCCCGTGGGTCCGCAGGCTCTAAAGGCCGGCTCGCTCCCTACCGCTTTGCTGCGTGCCACAGCGCCCCCACCGCCATCTGCCTTGGGCTCTGCCACAGTGCGTTCCCGGGCATACGATCCAGGCGTGTCAGGCGTGCAATTGCCTTGCTTCAATACCTGAAGCCCATCCGTCCCAACTATATTGCTGCTCAACTCCCACCTCACCTCACTGCCTCATACCTGCACCGCTAGTGTCCCCTCCACCTCGTACCTCCCCACTCACTTCATGACGGCGCCATTGAAAGTCACGCGGAAGGCCGTCCGCCCCAGGGTGAACGACGCGGGTGAATGGGCGAGACACTTGGTAACCTGGTCACCCGACCACCTAGTACCCCCCCCCACTCACTTCATGACGGCGCCATTGAAGGTGGTGTGGAATGCCGTGCACCCCAGGGTCAACGGGCCAGACACCTGGTAACCTGGTAACCCCACCAGCTGGTACCCCACCACTCCATGACGGCGCCATTGAAGGTCGTGCGGAACCCCGTCCGCCCCAGGGCGAGAGGGCGAGACACCTGGTAACCCCACGACTCACTTCATCACGGCGCCATTGAAGGTCGTGCGGAACGCCGTCCGCCCCAGGGTGAACGACGCGGGCTGCGCGCCTGCCGCCCCGGGCCCGCTGATCGTGAATGCTGCCACGGTACACCTGGTAACCTGGTAACCCCACACTCACTTCATGACGGCGCCATTGAAGGTCGTGCGGAACGCCGTGCGCCCCAGAGTAAAAGATGCCGGCTGTGCGCCTGCCGCCCCGGGCCCGCTGATGGTGAATGCTGCCATGGGACACCTGGTAACCTGGTAACCCCACGACTCACTTCATGACGGCGCCACTGAAGGTCGTGTGGAACGCCGTGCGCCCAAGAGTGAACGACGCGGGCTGCGCGCCTGCCGCCCCGGGCCCGCTGATGGTGAATGCTGCCACGGTACGCCTGGTAACCTGGTAACCCCACACTCACTTCATGACGGCGCCATTGAACGTCGTGTGGAAGGCCGTGCGCCCCAGGGTGAACGACGCGGGCTGCGCGCCTGCCGCCCCGGGCCCGCTGATGGTGAACGCTGCCACGGTACGCCGCCCGAAGAGGTTTCCGAAGATTGCGTCGCTGGGGAACGGCTGCCCCCTGCGCGCCCACGCCAGCATCAGCCACCCGCCCCCGCCCGCGCCCGTGCTGCTGCGCTCCTCCACTGCCAGCTTGAGGGCGTCGCGCGAGGTGATGGTCCAGTGCAGCATGTAGCTGTGGGGGAGGGGGAGGCGCAGAAACAGGGAGTCGGGGAATGAAGCATGCAGCTGAGTGAAAGGGAACAGGGGAGTGCGGGAACAAGGAAGAAAGCCTTGCTCCGCTCCTCCACTGCGAGCTTTAGGGCGTCGCGCGACGTGATGGTCCAGTGGAGCACGTAGCTGTGGGGGAGGGGAGGCGGGAATAGGGAGTGGGGATAGGGGCTTCAGGGGATGAGGGGAACAAGAGAGCTGCTGCTCTCCTCCCGAGCTTGAGGGAGTTCCGTGAGGTTCTAGTCCCATACAGCAGTAGCAGCGTGGAGACCGAGTTTTGTGAGGGAGGGATTGGTGGAGGAAAAAGGGTGGCGGGATCACGTAAACGGATTAAGGGGATTAGGAGGATCAGGGGTAGCGGAACAGGCGAGCAATCGAGTAGCGAGCCTGAGGGCGTCTCGTGACGTGGTGGTCCAATACGGCATGTGGCTGCGTGGAAATGATCGGGTTTTGGGTGGGGGGGATTGGGGATCAGGGGATCAGCGGCCAAGGGAGTGGGGAGCTTGGTTGCGGATGTTGAGGGCCGGATGGTGGGACCGGGGAGGCAGAAAGTTCAACTTTCGCCGCAAACAACGGGGAGCATTTGTAGATGTACATGTCTGTGGATGGCAGGGGAGAGTCGACACATCGAGATGCACCTTGCTACTGGACACATGAAAAGTGCCACAGGCGACATGCAACATGCGTTTCGACACATGCGACATGCGTTTTGCGAAGCGGCTCCATCGATCCCGCCCTCGCGAAGCGGAAGGCGCGGGGCGGAAGGGAAGGAAAGACAGAGTGACAACCTCCCGGAACTTCCTCCCCCCTTCGCCACTACCTGTACTCGTTACAATCCGTACCCGTTACCCGACAGGTCGACCATGTTGGAGTAACCCGCCATCGTCGACGTCTGGCACGCCGGCGTTCGCCGCAACACTCGCCGCGACTCAGAGATCCCCCGCCTTAATCCAGAGGGGTTCCAGCTATCGTCCCATGAAGATAGGCTATTGTTGAACAGCGCGTTCCACGGCGGCCGGGCTTCAGCGGGCGAGTGTAAGTCCGCGTCGGACGCGGCGGATCGTACGGCTAATACGGAAGCAGCAGTCAATGCAGTCAGGAGGTACAGAGCTGTGATGACGTGGAAAGACTGAGAGGCTGACATGGGAAACGCGAGGCGCCGGCGGGGGCGAGTAAGGGAGAAGCGACGGCGACGCGGGGCGAAGGATACAGCGTAACTAGCTGACTCGGACAAGACCGTCGCCATTACTCGTTGCGAGGTCGAAAGTCGCGGAGAACGGCGGTAATCTCGGAGCGTTAGCACGACGACTCTACAGGATCGGATTGTCTCCCTGTGGTGAGTGCTACTTTGTAACCCTGGTGGTCCCGGAAGTATTGTAAATCAGCGCCGAAGCGAGACAAATCCTACCCGGCAGCGCCGTAGGGAGTGGCTGAGGGAGGTGAAATACTGGTTCAAGGCGCCGAGGAGGACTGATATCGGCAAAACACAAAGCGGCGGGTCAAGCAAAGCAGTGCTGATCGCAGAACATGATTGCTGGCTTGTGCATAGGAGAGGTGGGCGGCCACAAGGAGGTGAGCCGAGAGGAGATTATTTGCTGCTGGGAATGATGGTGGTGCATGAAGGCCCTTGGGGAAGGAATGGGATGGGAAGTCGAGTCGCCAATTTTCGCAGACCAGGCACATTGTCGCACCGTGAAGGCAAGGAAGCCGAAGCGCACACTCCCACCAACCCTCTTGGCGCGAGTCAAAGTCTTGATAGCACAAGCATGTGCCAGGGCGACTCACGTGTTCGCGCTGCACAGAGCGATGCGTTATGGTTAAAACTTCGGTATACAGTTAAAGTGGCTGGTTAAAAATCCTTAGGAGATTAGAAGCTGGTTACCCAATTACAAGCCCGAACTCTCGTTCGTTTCACAGATTTTCAGTCGTTCGGCTGCTGATTCAACCCCAAGGGATTGTCGTTTGGCTGTGTCAGTCAAAAGCATATGCGACATATGCGAACATAGTTACCAGCCAATGGTCGAACTGTTAGTAGTTGTAGTACGCGTTAGTACGGGCCTCGATTTGTGCGTCTGAACATGCTGCAATGCCTATCGCATCGCTCTCCCCTGCGGCGACTCCGCCGCTTACGTCATTCACTCCACGGGTGACGTTAACGTCTCATTGCGCAGCTCAGCGTTGTGAATCCCGAGCCGGGAGGTCCGGCCGAGCCAATAGCCTCGTCGCGCGTAGTAGCAGTCAATGGCGATTCGGCAGTAGTAGGCTTTTCGCAGGCCAATTCGAACCTAGGTATTCGCGGGGATCAGCTGTTAAGGCGCATTCAGCGAGCTTGTTGCACCGTACGTTTCACAGTGTTGATGTATCGGGAAAGTTGCGCCTATTCCGTCCCGAGCCGGCGGTGCCGGCGCAGCAGATTCGACAACGACGGCGAGTAACGAGCCAGGCTATATCGGACCCGTTCGCGTTCTCGTTTGACGATGGAGAGGAGAACGAGGAAGGGAATGCGGCGGAGAGCAACGGTTACGGCGACAACGAACGAGGTAAGAATTGCCTAAAAGCTCCACTCTTCTCTCTTATAGTTCCACTCATCCTCTCCTTTCCTGTCCCCACACCCACACCCGCACCCACACCCACACCAACACCGCCACACACACGCACAATCCAAGGCCCACACGCACAATCCAAGGCCCACAGGCATCACAACGACTACCCCCCTGCTCCACCCGCTCCTTTGGTTGCGCTCTGCTGCTCTCCCTGCGACGGCCAGCCCAACATATTTCTCTTTCCCTAGTTTCCCCCTCCTTTGTTTCCCTATTTTCCTCATTTTTCCTCCTTTCTCTCTTTTCTCCTATTCACCCCATTCCTCCTTTTCTTTTCCCCTCATGCATACTCGGAGGAGGAGACCCTAGCAACTCTGGACTGGCCCGCCCTCTGCGCCACCCTCGCCTCCTTCGGTTGCCGCCCACGACTCTCAATACATCCCCTCTTTTCCTCCATTCATCCCCTTATCTCCTCCTCCCCCCCCCCCCCCCCCCCGTGCAGACCCAGAGGAGGAGACCCTAGCAGCGCTCGACTGGCCGGCCCTATGCACCACCCTCGCCTCGTTCGGTTGCCGCTCACTGCTCTCAATACATCCCCTCTTTTCCTCCTTTCATCCCCCAAGTCTCCCTCCTCTCTCATGCAGACCCAGAGGAGGAGACCCTAGCAGCGCTCGACTGGCCCGCCCTGTGCACCACCCTCGCCTCCTTCGCCTCCACCTCATACGCCCGCCGCCTGCTGCTCTCCCTGCGGCCCCCCAAAGCCAAAGCACCCGCCCAGGCCCACCCCACACTCGCCCTCCCCTCTCACACTTACACCCACTCAGAAACAAGTCCCTCAGAAAAAGCCCTTTCGAAAGAAAATCTCCCCCCGTGGGGGTATGCAGAGCTACAGGGGCAGTGCGAGGGGTTGCTGGAGGAGACAGCAGCAGCGATTGAGCTGGAGGAGAGGGCAGGGGGCGCTGTGGACCTCAGTGGCGTGAATGCCTCGTTAGTGGGCGATGCGCTAAGAGTGCTGGGGCGCGGGATGAGCGTGAGCGGGCGGCAGGGCGCTGCTGTGGCTGCCATGATGGTGGCGGCCAATGGGGTGCGGCGCGGGGTCATGGACGCTGTTGCTGAGGTGGAGCGAGGAGGGGAGCGAGGAGGAGAGGGGGGTGGAAGGGAGGGGGGTGAGAAAAGCCGCCTGCACATTCTTCTGGACATGGTGAGTCCATGTAGACGAGGAATGAAAGGCGGCTGCGATTGTGATGACGGTGACGAATGGGTGAGGCGAGGGGTGATGGATGCTGTTGCTGAGGTGGAGGGAGGAGGGCAGGGGGTGGAAGTGAGGGGTGGACGGGAGGGGAGCGGGCAGGGCATAGCCGGCTGCACTTGCTTCTGGATTTGGTGAGTGCTGTGAGGAGACGAGGGATGATGATGGTGAATGTAGTGAGTGCGGTGAGGAGGGGAGAGATGAGGGTGGAGAGGATTCGAGCGTGGATTGAAGAAAAGGAGGGGAGAGAGGAGTGGAGAGGGGAGGAGAAAGGGAGGATGGGACGGGGTAAGTTGTCATATGGGATGGGACTGGTACTGGAGGCGTGAGGGGTGGTGGTGACTGGGTCACTGGGGTGATCCAAGAATGCATGGAGTATCTCATCCGAGCGTCAGGTTGGTGGCTTAGGTTGATCGTAGCTGCAACTTTGGTTGGAGTGGTGGTGACTGGGTGGAGGATGGATGCTGCTGTATCTCTCTTCCCCTTAACTCCACTTCCCCTGCTTTCCACCCGCCCCCTCCTGTTGCAGCTAAAGCCCTTTACCAACTCACAGAGTTTTGGGTGTTGAGTCGCCTCACCCATCCCCTTCCCCTCCCCTCTCCCCCCGACCCCCCTCACCGACCCCCCTGACCGACCCCCGGTCAGCTGAAGCCCATGGCCACCAGGCCAGACTTGGTTCGGCGCATCTGGTCCGCCGTGGATGAGGACGGGCAGGTTCGGGACACAGCGAGCGCGGAGGTTCGGCAGGCCCGAGCCGCGTGCCAGCTGGCGGGCGCCCGGGCGAGGGAGGCGGTGGTGCGGGCGGCGAGGGGGAGGGGGGCGGGCGGCGGGGTGGTGGAGGAGGTGGTGGAGGTGGAGGGGCGGTTCTGTATGGTGGTGAGCCGACAGATGATGAGTGCGGGAGAGGGAAACTCGACCGGCCTTGTCATGAAATCGTGAGTACCTGTTTTTTGTGCTGCTCAGGTATAGCTGTGGGGAGGTGGAGGGGCGGTTCTGCATGGTGGCGAGCAGACAGATGATGAGTGGAGGAGAGGGGAGTTCTTCTGGCCTCGTGATGAAATCGTGAGTCTCTGCTTTCGTGTTTCTCAGGGGTAGCTCTTTAGTTGGCTCACTCTGTTGTGGGCAGGGAGGTGGCGGAGGTGCAGGGCGGTTCTGTGCGGTGGTGAAACCCATGTGACAAGTTCTCCTTTGAGAATTGCTTTTGAGAATTCTCAAAAGTGACACTTGGGTTGGCTCACAATGCTGTGGTGCATGCATGGTGGTGGGAAGGCAGCTGATGATGAGCCGCACCGGCGCCTGCATGCCACCATGCAGAACCATGCAGAACCATGCAGAACCATGCAGAACCATGCAGAACCATGCAGAACCACGCATGCAGCTGATGATGAGCTGCGCCGGCGTGTTTTGAATTGAATCGCGCCAGTACTGAGTCGGTGTGTTTAGTTTAGAGTCGACTCACTGAAAACACACCGGCGCCTGCTCTGCTCTGCTCTGCTCACCTCCACGCACAACCAGGCAGCCAGCTGATTATGCGAGCAAGGGAGGGAAGCGTTTTTGGCCTTGTCATCAAATCGTGAGCTTTTGAAGAATGAATTGCTTCTGCGTACATGCGTGTCGACAATGAGTGGAAGGGAAGCTATTACTCAGGCCTAAGGCAAGGGAGGGAGGGGATGGGCTTTGTGTGGCCTTGTAGGGAAGTCATGAGTTGCTGCCTTCCCCCCAACCCAACCCCACCCACCCTCACCTTCTCTTGCTCAGATGGTCCTTTGTGTTTCTTCAACGACAAGTTTATCCAAAGAGCAAACAAAATCTGCTCAAGTTCCTTTCCCCCCTCATGGTAACTATTATTTCAACCACAGGTACCCAGCTAAGTTTGGTCTGTCGTATCATTTTCCCCTCTCCCCAGGCCATCACCCTCCCTCGCAGTGATAATTAGAACCTACCTTGGCAGTTCAGCTTTAACAACATCTCAAGAGTAGAACGTCCTTTGGCGGTTTATCTTCACAACTGATACGACCGCCAGTGCCAGGGCGAGTGCGGAGGCGTGGCAAGCAGTGCTGGCAGTGCTGGTAGCGTTGGTAGCGTTGGTAGCGTTGGTAGCGTTGGTAGCGTTGGTAGCGTTGGTAGCGTTGGTAGCGTTGGTAGCGTTGGTAGCGTTGGTAGCGTTGGTAGTGTTGGTAGTGTGGGGTTCACACAGTTGTAAGACGTGTCAAGACTCAAACCTTGTTCACTCGCCCCTTGTGCCCCCGAACAACCTCCAGCTGTTCGCCTTCTCTTGCAGTGATAGAGCCCACATCAGCTGTGCAGCTCCGCAACCGTGTTGTGTTCACTCGCCCCTTACCACGTTCTGTTCTCCCTCTCCTCCTCCAGCTCACCGCTCTGTTTTCCCCTCACCTCCCTCATGTCCCTCGCCCCCTTCGCCCCCCTGACCTCCTCCAGCTCATCGCCTTCTCTGGAAGTGATAGAGCCCACGTCAGCCGTGCAGCTGAACAACCGCTACAGCGAGGCCAGAGCAGACGCGTGGCGGGCGGAGCAGTGATAGTGCTTGCGAGTGATTTTGGAAAATTTTCAAAAATCACTCGCACTGGGTTGTTCACACGCCCATTCTCCCTCCCCTCCCCTCTCCTCCCCTCCCTTCCCCTCCCCTCCCAGGTCATCGCCCTCCCTGGCAGTGATAGAGCCCACGTCAGCCGTGCAGCTGAACAACCGGTACAGCGAGGTCAGAGCCGAAGCGTGGCGGGCGGAGCAGTGATAGTGCTGGGAGTGGGCTGTTCACACGTCCATTCTCCCTCCCCTTCCCTCTCCTCCCCTCCCTTCCCCTCCCCTTCCAGCTCATCGCCCTCCCTGGCAGTGATAGAGCCCACATCAGCAGTGCAGCTCAACAACCGGTACAGCGAGGCCAGTGGCGAGGCATGGCGAGCAGAGCAGGCAGTGCTGGCGCAGCTATCACGGGACATGGGGGAGGCGGTGGGGGACGTGCAAGGGGTGCTGGAGGCCATGGTTCGACTCGACGTGGTGAGTGCTGCTCCCTAGTGCTCTCATACACACAAGCATTTACATGCACACAACGTACCCACGGACAGGCATTCACTCAGCAGACAGCGGTGGGGTGGGGGATGTGCAAGGGGTGCTGGAGGCCATGGTTCGACTGGACGTGGTGCGTTGAGGTGAGCCCTTCTCACTCAACTCAACTCAACTCAACTCACGCACGCACGCACGCACGCACGCACGCACACTCTCAACCCCTGCGCTCCCTTGCACACATGCACACACACGTGCAAGGGGCGTTGATGCAGTGGGTGGGGGACGTGCAAGGGGCGTTTAGGGACACCCATCTTGCGAGTAGCACCTTCGATACCACACACCATCATACTCCTCCCTCACTCTCCCCTCTTGCTATCCCTTTCCCCACCCTCCATCCATCCCTGTCAGAGCATAGCCACAGGCCCACACCACGCCATAACAGCGTGACTTTTGAGTCAACTCACCACTCTTCCCTTCCTCTGATTTGCTCCTCTCTCTTTCCCACCATCCATCCCACCATCCATGTCATCAGATCACAAGAGCACACTACAGCAGCTGGCTTGGTGCCTTCAAAATTCCCTCACCTCACCTCTCTTCTTCCTTCTTCCTTTCCCCGTCACCTCCCCTCCCCACCCTACCTCCAACCCTTTTTTCCCTGAATCCTTCTAATCAGATCATAGCGAGAGCACGCTACAGCAGCTGGCTTGGTGCCACTCGCCCTTCCTTCACCCCTCTCGCTGAGGGTTTAGGGTTTACGGTCACCACCACCCCTTCCTCTCCTGATGCCACGTCAGCTGAACCTGCCACGTCAGCAGTAACTGCCACGTCAATAAACCCTGCCACGTCAGCTGCACCAGCCACGTCAGCAGCACCCTCTGCTCCGCTCGTCGACATGCGCTCCCTCCGCCACCCTCTCCTCCTCCAGCAGTACCGCGCCGACCAGAAACGAGCCAATCAGAGGCTGCAGAAGGCAAAGCGGGTGGCAAACAGGCTGCGCATGCGACCCGGCATGGCAGCATCAGTGGCAGCATCTGCTGCTGCAGCAGCAGCAGTGTCAGCGTCAAGAGGAGGAGATCAAAGGGTGGCAGCAACAGCGGTAGCACCAGGAGCAGGAGCAGGAGCGGGGGGAGGGGTAGCAGCAGCAGCAGGGCCAGCAGCGGGAGTGAGTGGTGGAGTGGGGGAGGGTTCCCCTGGGGGGTGGGTGACACAGCTACAGGCAGCAGAGAGGGAAGTGAGAGAGGCGGAGGAGGAGGTGGAGCGAGCAGAGGCCGCAGTGCCTGTGCCCATAGACGTGACAGTAAGGAGGGGGTGCCGTGTTGTGACTATAACGGGGCCCAACACCGGAGGCAAGACAGCTGCAATCAAAGCAGTGGGGCTCGCAGCTCTCATAGCCCGATGTGGTGAGCGGTTGGAGGGGGTGGAGAGATGTGGTGAGTGGTTGGGGGGTGGAGAGATGTGGTGAGTGGTTGAGGGGGGTGGAGAGATGTGGTGAGCGGTTGGGGGGGGTTGTGGTGAGTGGTTGGGGGGGTGGAGATATCCGGTGAGTGTGATATAGATGTGGCAGCGGAGGGGTTGGTGGGTGGTGACTATAAAGGGGCCAAACACCGGAGGCAAGACGGCTGCCATCAAGGCTGTTCTGGGCCTGGCTCGATGTGGTGAGTGCTCGGGGGAACAGGTGAAAGCTTGTGGTGGGTGATGTAAAAGTAAGGAAGGAGGGGGTGCCGTGCCGGGTGGTGAGTGTAGCAGGGACCAACAATGGCGGCAAGACTGCTGCCAGCAAGGCAGTTGGGCTCACTGTGCTCACTGTGCTCACTGGGCTCACTGGGCTCACTGTGCTCACTGTGCTCACTGTGCTCACTGTGCTCACTGTGCTCACTGTGCTCACTGTGCTCACTGTGCTCACTGTGCTCACTGTGCTCACTGTGCTCACTGTGCTCACTGTGCTCACTGTGCTCACTGTGCTCACTGTGCTCACTGTGCTCACTGTGCTCACTGTGCTCACTGTGCTCGTGGTGCGATGCATTGCGTGCGGTAAGAAAAACGCAGTGGGTGCTTTGGGGGAATCGGGTACGAGAAAGTAGGCCGCGTGAAAGAGCAGGCGGTGGTGGATGCTGTGGCACAGAAAAAGGCACAACCACTACTCTTTTGCGCCCTGTGCCTCCCCTCCTCCCTCCCACACTACAGGCATTTATGTGTTGGCATCATCACCCTCCCGCCTGCCTCTCTTCAACCAACCTCGTGCTGGCTGTCAGTTGGCCACCCCCAATCTCTCACGCACTCCCTCTCCACCACCTCTCTGCTCTCTGCCTGCCCCAACCTCTGTCTGCACCTCCCCTCTCCAGGCATCTATGTGTTGGCATCGTCACCCCCCCGGCTGCCTCTCTTTGACCTCGTGCTGGCTGATATCGGCGACGCCCAGTCACTCACACACTCCCTCTCCACCTTCTCCCATTGCTCTCTGCCTGCCCCAACCCTTGTGACCCTGTCTGTCTGCGCCCCCTTTCCCCAGGCATCTACGTCCTCGCATCATCACCCCCCCGCTTGCCTCTCTTTGACCTCGTGCTGGCGGATATTGGCGACGCGCAGTCACTCACGCAGTCCCTCTCCACCTTCTCCTCGCACCTCGTCCGCATCAGAAGCATCCTGGAAGCTGCCACGCCACGCTCCCTCGTGCTCTTGGATGAGGTGAGCGTGTGAACGTGTGCCCTCCCTGCACGCATCTCCCGGCACGCATCTCTCCCCTCCTGCAACCTCCCACGCCATGCTCCCCCCCACATGCAACTTGCCACGTCATGCTCCCCCCCACATGCAACTTGCCACGTCATGCTCCCCCCCACATGCAACTTGCCACGTCATGCTCCCCCTCACATGCAACTTGCCACGTCATGCTCCCCCCCACATGCAACTTGCCACGTCATGCTCCCCCCCACATGCAACTTGCCACGTCATGCTCCCCCCCACATGCAACTTGCCACGTCATGCTCCCCCCCACATGCAACTTGCCACGTCATGCTCCCCCCCACATGCAACTTGCCACGTCATGCTCCCCCCCACATGCAACTTGCCACGTCATGCTCCCCCCCACATGCAACTTGCCACGTCATGCTCCCTTGTATAGTTGGTCGAGCCTGCACCAGCACAGCCTGTACCAGCACAGCCTGTACCAGCACAGCCTGTACCAGCATGTAGTCCCTTCCTTCCTTCCTCTTACCTCCCTCTTCCCTCCCACTCCCACTCCCACTCCCCCTTCCTCCCCGTTCACTCCCCACTCAGCTTGAAGTGGCCACGGGCCCACCGTGGAAGCTCCTGCTTTGCCTGCAGCAGCGCTCAGCCCCTTCTATCTGTTTCCTCATCTTCCCCCCTCCTCTCCTCTCCTCTCCTCTCCTCTCCTCTCCTCTCCTCTCCCTCCTCCTCTCATGCCCCCGCCTCTCCTCCCCTAATCCCCGCCTTCCTTCCCCTCAACTTTCCTCCTTCGTCCCCCATCAGCGTCCTCCATCAGCGTCCTTCCAGCTCGGAGCAGGCACGGACCCAATCAAGAAGGGTGCTCTGGCAACACTGGTGCTCCTCCGGAGCAAGCCTGTTCAATCACCTTCCCCTCCCTTCCCCGCCTCCTGTTTCCCCCCTCCCCTGTCAACGCCCTGCCAGCTAGGAGCGGGCACGGACCCGATAGAAGGGGCCGCTTTGGCCACAGCAGTGCTAGAGCATCTAGCAGGAGGGTCGGAAGAAGGTTCAGGTGAATCTTCAGGTGTTTCTTCAGGTGGTGCTCTGCTGACCATGGCTACAACGCATCACGGGCAGCTCAAGACGCTCAAGTACAGGTCAGTGCAAATGCACATTGGGTTATCAAAGGCGTCCAGTGAGTGTATGCATGGGTTAAATTTCAAATAACACATGTTTTCTCAAAATCCACAAGCTTTCCCGCAAGAGATATTCATTCTTCAAGAACATTGCTCTCATTCCACCTGCCTTGGTTTTCTAGAGTCTTGTCTCTTAACGCCATTGCCTGGAGTCTTGTCTCTTAACGCAATTGCCTGGAGTCTTGTCTCTTAACGCAATTGCCTGGAGTCTTGTCTATTACGCCATTGCCTGGAGTCTTGTCTCTTAACGCAATTGCCTGGAGTCTTGTCTATTTACGCCATTGCCTGGAGTAACGCCATTGCCTGGATTCAATCCACCTGATTTTTCCAAGTTATCAAATCTGCCTTCTCTTTTGCTTTCCCCTTCCCTTCTCCTCCCCTTCCATTCCTTTCCCCTTCCCCTTCCCCTTCCCCTTCCCCTTCCCCTTCCCCTTCCCCTGCCCCCTCCCCTTCCTCTCGTCCGTCCCATTTACCGCTTTCGTAGCAACCGCTTCCGTAGCAATCCCTTCCTGGGATACCAGGAATGCTCGTTTCAAGAATGCATCAGTCGATTCTGTTAGATGACGAGTGTTTGACTCCCACACATCGCCTCCTGTGGGCCAACCAACCCACCTTCCTCACTTTCCTTTTCTCTTCCCCTTCCCCTTCTTTTCTCCTTCCTTTCATTAACAGGGATGCACGCTTTGAGAACGCCTCGGTGGAGTTTGATGACCAGCGCCTGGCTCCCACGTACCGCCTGCTGTGAAGTCAACCATTCCACCCGGCCCCACCTCTCTCCTGCTTCACCATGCATTCTTCCTTTACCGTCACGTTGCCCATCAAAGATGCTCGTTTCGAGAACGCCTCGGTGGAGTTTGACGACCAGCGCCTCGCTCCCACGTACCGCCTCCTGTGGGGCGTCCCCGGTCAACACAGGTGTGGGGTGTCAGCCGTATTCACGCCATTCGTTCCCTTTCTTTGCTCCCACCCGCCCTCCCCTCTCTTGTACCAACTCCCCTCCACGGACAGGGATGCACGCTTGGAGAATTCTTCTGTGGAGTTTGACGATGAGCACCTCCACTCGGCCTCACCATCTCTCTCCTGCTTCACCATGCCTTGTTCCTTTCCCATCATGTTGCCCATCAGAGATGCACGCTTTGAGAACGCCTCGGTGGAGTTTGACGACCAGCGCCTCGCTCCCACGTACCGCCTGCTGTGGGGCATCCCGGGCCGATCCAACGCGCTCAATATAGCGCAGAGGCTCGGGCTGCCCAGAGATATAATTTCAGCTGCCCGGGAGCTGCAAGGCAGCGCAAAGATGCAAGTGAATGAGGTGAGTGCATGCGACTGTGTCTTTTTTCCCCGCTGGTATTCCAACGAGGCCCCAATTGGAGTCACTTACGAGAATTCTCAAAAGTGCGTGTAGCTATTTTCTCTCCCCCTGAAATTCTAAGGCTTCAAGTATGAAAGAATAACTATTAGGTGGAACACTCTCCTCCACCCCCCCCCCCCCCTTTTTTTTTTTCCTTTTTCTTTACTTTGGTTTTTTGCTAAACAATTATGTTTCCTTGGCAGGTAATAACAGCAATGGAGGAAGCTAAAAGGGCATATGAGACTGATGTGCAGGCCACTGCCTCTATTCTAAGGTGGGTGGGTGGGTGGGTGGGGGCGTGGATGGGGGCATGCATGCATGCATGTGGGTGCATGAGTGCTAGAAGGGCGTATGAGGCGGATGTGCCGGGGCACTGCTTCCATTCGAAGGTGGGTTAGGGGAGCACATGGATGAGGAGGGGTGGGGGTGGAAGGGGGCTTACATGCATCCTTCTGGATGGGGGGGGGGATGATATGATTGTTGTTTTTTTTTTTTTTTGTTCCCCTCCTTGTTCTGCAGGCAAGCGGAGTCTCTTTATTCTGACCTAACTTCAGCTGCCCGGCGCCTGCAGCTGCACCAGCAGGCACTGCAGCTGGACGGGCAGCAAAAAGTTCAAGCCGCGGTTGTTGACGGGCAGAAGGCGATCCGGGCAGCAGCCCGGGCAGCTGTGAGAAAAGCAAGGGAGGCTGAAGAGGCAGCTCTGTTTGAAGTGGGTGCGGCAAGGAGAAGACGGGGGAGGGAGAAGGAGGGAGGAGCAGCTGGGTGGGGCACCGTGGAGGGGACGACAGGAAGCAGACTGCCCCAAGGTATGTCTGAGGGCGATTGAGGCGCTTCAGGTAGTAAGCGAGGGAACTGTGAGGGGGAGTAGGCAAGGAGGAGGGGTGTAGGATTTTATGGGAGCGGCATGGAGGAAGGAGGGCCGTTTGAAAGCGGTTTTCTAAAGGAATCCGTGTGACTGTGTAGGGTGTTACTAAATGCTGGGGGGTTTAGGACAGAGCGGAAGGGGGAGAATGGGGAAGAAGCTTTTGGGTGGGCCTTTAAGGATGGCCTTTTGAGCAGTGGTAGCCTTCTCCCCCCCCTCCCTCCCTCCCTCCCTCCCTCCCTCCCTCCCTCCCTCCCTCCCTCCCTCCCTCCCTCCCTCCCTCCCTCCCTCCCTCCCTCCCTCCCTCCCTCCCTCCCTCCCTCCCTCCCTCCCTCCCTCCCTCCCTCCCTCTCTCCCTCCCTCCCTCCCTCCCTCCCTCCCTCCCTCCCTCCCTCCCTCCCTCCCTCCCTCCCTCCCTCACTCCCTCCCTCCCTCTCTCCCTTGCTCACCCGTTCCCTCACTCCGTTGCGCGGTATTCCTCCTTCACACTCAGTCATTCCCTCTCTCCTACCGCTAACCCATCCCTCGCTACCCTTCCTTCTCATCCCCCATCTCCACATCAAATCAACACTTAACCTCAATGTTCCTCACCTTGTCAAGAATGCATTGCTGTTCTCAATCAAAACAAACCTTTTCCTCCTCCCCTTGACCTGAGCAAAACGAAGGATGCTTTTTCTTCTTCTTATTCCCAAACTCCTTTTTTTCCGGATACTTTCCAGCAAGTAGCAGCAGCGTGCTTCCTCCCACAAGAATGCAGTCAACACAGGCGAAGCAAGACAAGGGGCCTGCTGTCGGTGCGACTGTCTCAGTGCCTCGATTGGGAGTGAAAGGGAAAGTGCTCCAAGTAAATGCGGAGAAAGGGGAGGTGTTGCTACAGTGCGGACGCATGCAAATGACAGTTCTATTGGATGATATATAGCTTCTTTTGTACAGTAATTCCCTGTTTGATCTGACCTCCCCCACAGGACAAGCCGCAGACCCCGGGGTTTAGCATCAGCCCCAGTAGCACAAGAACATTGTGAAACAACCCTGCCTAAAAGCTAAGCACATACCCGTCTAGAGGGTCATTGACTGGCCACAACCAGTAAGAAAGCAAGATTATGCACTGCACCCAGGATATGGTAGGTAGAATATAAAAAATTTTAGGATAATGTGGTCTTATGTGCCAGCATGACACGAAACGCTGTTGATCTAGTATAAAGGAAGTAACATTTACAGCATGAAACATGCAACGTATCCTCTGAAGAAGCCCACTGGAAAATATGCGGAGGACAGTGTTAGCACCTAGATGCACTTGTTCAACGAGGGCCACCCAAAACCAATTTAGAGCGCTGCCGCCGCTCAGGTTTTGGAATGATCCCAGCCGACATAGATGAACTGCGGGATCAGCTGGTGAACCTTCCAGTCAGCTACTGCCAGCGCTGCTGACATCAGCAGCAGGACAAGAGGAAACACAACAGAGGCGGATGGAAACGCAAGCGGAACAGCAGCAGCAGCAGCAGCAGCGAGCAGGGAGAGAGCGGGCAGCAGCAGGTGCAGTCGCTGCAGGGTGGCGAGGGCGGAGGAGCAGGAGGTGCAGTGTGCCGTGTGGGAGGCCATTCGGTCCAACACCACCTCCTTGGGGAGTGGCTGTGGGGGCAGCGAGTAGCCCGGGGGGAAGGACACGGCACCGCCTGTTGAGGGAGAGCGAGGGAAGGGAGGCACGAAAGGTGTGCTTGCTACGGTATGTGCGAAGGATGTGCCGTGTGGGAGGCCATTCGGTCCAACACCACTGCCTTGCACAGTGGCTGGGGGTGCAAGGAATAGCATGGGGGGTAGGATACTGCGCCGCCTGTTGGAGGGGCAGGAGGACATGGATGCACAAAGGATACGCTGACCATGTGCGAAGGGTGTGTGTGCATAAGTGATGTGGGCCAACAGGGGAAAGACTTGCTGGTGTAGGGGCTGAAGGTGGGTGGGGGAAGAGTGTGCAGGGTGCAGCATGGAGTAGACAGCTTGGGCAGAGGAAAAACGAAGAGGGACTAGAGCATGCTTTATTCTGTCATGGAGGGTGCATGCGAGTACAACAGACGCACATCCATCGCCATGTGCACAACCTACCTGCATACGTTCCCATCCACTGGCGGAAGGCCACCACGAAGAGGTCAGCCGGGGCGGGCAGGAAATACTCCGACTGCCAGAAGCGCGCACTCGCCCTCCCAGCTGCCCTCTCCGCCTCCTTCTCTGCCTCTTCCCTCTCCTGCTCTGTCAACCCGCCTGCCCCTGCGCTGGCCATGGCAGTGGTTCGATGCTGGGCGGCAATGGATTGGATTTTGTGGCCCACGAGAATGTCCTGGCAGTGCAAAAAGTAGTTGTCGCCTGGATGATGGGAGAGGGGGAGGTAAAGGTAAAAGGAGAGAAGAGGTCATAAATCAGTAGGGCGGGAAAAGGAACCATATGACTACTCATTACACGCAGCACCACAGTCGATGCGCCGCCATCAACAAGCAGAATGTTCTCACAACAATGAATGATGTATCTATGCCAAGACAAGTATGTGTCGCACTAATAATTGGAAAAGCATGACTGTCTGATGATGTGCTGTGTTGACTCCAGGTTTGAATGGCAGGGGGCAGGGCGGGAGAAGCAAGGAGGGTGGGAGACGCAAGGAGGGCAGGAGAAGTAAGCAGAGCAGGAGAGGCAAGCAGGGCGGGCGGGCGGGAATCGTACTGTCGAAGACATTGTGAGTGAAGAGGTGCGATCGCCACGCCTGCGCAGCAAACTGCTCCCCCCACAGCGACTTCCTCCTCGACCCCACAGCCCCTTTCTCACCCCCCTTGCCATCGCCACTGCCACTGCCTCCCTCGTTGCTGGCCTTGACGACACCCTCGTTGTTGCCTTGCAGGAAGATCATGAGGCACTCCCCCGGGCGCATGGGCGTCATGTACAGGCAGATGAGCACCGTTGTGGGCGCGGGGGGAGCTGCCCCCGCCGCCGCCGCTGCTTCTGCTAGGGTGCTGCAAATGGTTGCGAATGGGGTGAGCAACAGGCAGTGGCTCGGATCTTACCATGAGGGCGAGGCAATGAAATGGCGGGTCTGCCCACACAACACGACCAGCACATGCAAAGGCAACTCGAGCGTGTGTCGTGCGATTCAGTGTCAGCAAGGAATGGCATTCAGGGTTTCAGGTCAGTCAGTGGGACATCACTCTTGTGGCGAGTGCAATGAAGGGTCAGGGCTGTAGCATACCGGTTGTAGCAGATGAAGGTGGGGGCGCTGAAGGTGAAGGTGGCAGGCGAGGACGCATCATGAAAGGTGCCTTGAAAGCCCTCCTTGGTCTGACAGCACATGGGGGGAGTGCAGGGAGGGTTTGAAGAGGATGAAACGGATGTGAGAATTCATAAATGATAACAACCCAATTCTCAGAGGAGGCTCGCACACTCCACTCACCACATGTTGCACTGCACACTCATCTCCTGCATGAAGGTAGAGTAGAGGTTCCCTTTGAGTCGACTCCAAACACGGCTACCGCACTCATCTCATCACAGCACAGCACGCCCAGCACGCTCATCTCACCACACGTTGCACGCTCATCTCCTTCATGGGAGCCCCCTGGTCGCGGTGCAGCGGGCCGATGCCATGGTGAGCGAAGTAGAGGTGCGCACAAGTCAGATGTGAAGCAGAGAGATGTCATGATACACACGCTTATCACACAACGTGCACGCTCATCTCACCACGCGCTGCACACTAATCTCCTTCATAGGAGCTTCCTGGTCGCGGTGCAACGGGCCGATGCCATGATGCGCGAAGTAGAGGTGAGAGGGGTCGGCAAAATTCTCAGCTCACCACTCACTGCACTGCTCGCTCATCTCACCACGCGCTGCACACTAATCTCCTTCATGGGAGCGCCCTGATCGCGGTTCAACGGGCCGATGCCATGATGCACGAAGAGGTGCGAGGGGTCGGCAAAGTTCTCAGCGAGCATCTCGTAGCTGTAGGGCAGGCGGCGCGCATACAACGCCACGTCAAACGCCGACCAGTCCACTCCCTCGGGATCGGGGATGGCCGTGCGCTCCGCCTGTTCTGGAGAGGCGCTGTCCGGCCACACAAAGAGAATGCCCTGCACGGGGGTGGGGACGGGGTTGGGGGTGAAGGGAAGAGGAGACGAGGTAGGGAAAGTCAAGAGGGACAGTGAAGTCGGCACAGGTCAAGTGAACACAAAAGAAGGCAAAACGAAGACGGAACACGTTCAGGCAAAGGAGATGTGCAAACACACACATGGAACTCCCTGGTGGGGAAGGCAGTGGCGCAGGCGCGGGGAGAGGAGAGGGCGCGGGGAGGCTGGCCCGGGTTGTTCTGGGGCGCCTGCGGGATGAGCTGGCACGCACCACTGCCTGCAAACGCCCACCCGTGGTACGAACACGCCAGGCGGCCCTTCTCATCTATGCGGCCCTGGTGTGGGGCGGCGGAGGGAGAGATGGGGGTGAGACTCAGGACCCGGACACCCCTGGCGCCCACACGAGGCTACGCCGCACGTGCGGGGGCAGGGGAAGGGGGAAAGAGGAACAAGGTGGGAAACGCGCATGGAGAAGGTGTTGCAGCTGGCTGGATGAGCACAAAGCAGGGGAGAATAGGGAGTGAGAAATGATAGGGTGGGCAAAGCTCCCACCCGGACATGTCCATGCAGGTCAGCGGGTGGAAGAGGGCAAGGGGAGCATGGTGTGAAGAAATTAACCCACCTTGGAGAGCGGCGCGAGGCGGTGGGGCCCGAGAGTGCCTACCTCGGAGAGTGGAACGAGGCGGTGCGGGCAGTGGTCGAGGAAGGCGCGCCAGGTGTGGGAGGCGTCCCGCCAGAGCACGAGGGGGCGGCCCACCACTGTGAGCGCGTGCGGGCGACTCGCGTCCATGTCTGCGATCACGCCCACCGCGTACCACGCCTTGTTCCAGTCCAGCTGCTCCCTCTCTGCCCAGCCCGCTCGCCCCTCCTCCGCTGCTACCTCACCCCGGCTTGCCTTGCCCTCCTTCTCTCCTGCCTCCTGCTGCTGCTGCTGTTGCCCAACCTCGCCCGCTGCTGGCGGCTCGTCAGCCAGGGTCGGTGGCACAGCAGCACGAGCAGTGGCCGATGCAACTGGCGAGGGAGCGGCAGGCGTGGCAGCGGGAGCAACGATGGCTGCAGCGTCAGCAGGGGAAGCAGCTGGGGCTGTGACGGGCAGGTGAGCAGGCAGGGGAGGGGTGCTGGCAGCAAGTGGCGTTGGTGCAGCGGCAGTGGCGGGCGGGGGCTGCTCACTATTGCCCGCCCACCCATGATCCCCAGAGGAAGAGGTGCTGCCGTGGCTTCGCGCACGCACGCCGCTGCACGCCCTGCGCCCTCCACGCGACATCCCGTTTCTGTGCCGCGTGGGAGCGACGCTCAGAGGCGCACGACTGCGGAGGGTAGCGCACGACAGCTGCTGCTGCTGTGGTAGCCTGTGGGGCGGAGCACGGTGGAAGGCATGGCAAACAGAGCCCATGAGGTTGGCGATGCAACCTTGAAAGGTAGACGCGCCACACGCGCTCATGCCGAGTGCCTGTCTGCGGCTCGTGTGCGTGCTGCTGCTGAGTAAGGAGTGTTGAGTGCTGGCCCCGCGATTACTAGGCTTGTGTGACCTCGACAAGATTAGGCTCAGCTTAATTCAGGCTCGTGTGCGCAGCACTACGGAACGGTCCGTGGTACCACGAGCAAGAACAAAGAGAGTTTTGACCGCAATGCGAGCAGCTGCCACGCCAGACTGTTCCGCGGTGCACGCGGATTGACGGGCATGGGGCGTGGGAATGCGATTTCAAGGGGAGAGTCGACTACAAGACAGGCAGGCGGGGGGACACTGTTTCCCGGCGGGAGTGCCGTGGGGCATCAGGCGACTCGTCGTCGCCGCGTGGCGCGCTTCTGAGAGTTCTCAATAGCTCCTCGTAGCCCCCGCGTGGCGTGCGGTCGACAGGACCGACGGCCGAACTCGTATTTTCCCCTCGCCATTTGACGACTTTACTCAACCGCGGCGCTACGTGGCGTGACGCTACGGGTGTTCGGACGGTTTGATTGCGAGGCATTCGCGAACGGGAAGCACGAGATTGGCCAGCGGGGCGAAATGCGCGACGCGGCATGAGAGGTGGCTCGCCTTCGCCTTGGACGGAGTCGAAACTCGCGGAGATGGAAACCCGCGGCGCTGACACCCGCGAGGTGCTGCGACGAGGTGCAAAGCGACAGGCTCATCGGCGTTTCCGTCGACGTCCCCGCGAGGATAAGGCGTCTCGGTCACAGCGTGGGGGACTGCGAACTCTCCGCTAAGGTGGTCAGGTTAGTTGTCATAATCCACCATTTGCAAATGACGGGAGTATGGGAAAAAAATCATCAATTACCGGAGATTGCCGTTTGTCACTTCGTAGTACCCGAGCGCCCTAAAGCGGGAACGCGCGCAGTCGGCAGCACGGTGTTACGGGTGCAATGGATCGAGGATTGCACTAAGGTGTCAAACGAGTACAAAATGTGAGCGAAGGCATGAGCGAACATTTATACGCGAAACATGCAAACGGTAACGCGGTGCGTGCGAGCTAGCTAGTGCTATGCTGGCAGCGAGGTTCAGGCTAGTCCCGAAGCGTAGACCGACACGGCCGGGCCAGCAGTGCGTGGTTTGGCAAAACAGTGCGCGCGAAGTTGGCGAAGCCCCGTTAGCAGTAACGGGCGAACAACGAATATTGCTGTACGCGATGTAGCAGGTCTCCGTAAGGAATGGCGAGAAAATTCCTTACACTACCCCCTCCCCCCCTCAAGCAGCCCCCTCCGCTACGCGAGTGCGTGTATATCGCGGAATCCCCGGCTCCTCAGGTACACTTGCAGGGCAGGGTGGTTTTCGATGTTGGCCAGGGGCACCCAGCTATCATCTGTTGGCGTGCGGTCCTTCCATCGTACGAGGAATTCAATCTTCTTGATGCCTGTGGGGTGGTGAATTCGACGGCTCAGGGTTTTTTCAGGCTCAATGATCGGCTCCGATGCAGGGCGAGTCATGGATGGCGGGTGGTGGCGCGGCAGTTGGCTTGTAGTTGGGATGTATGGGCGAAGCAGGCTGACGTGGACAGATGGGCTGATGTACCAGTCGGTCGGCAACAGTAGATGGGCGATTACTGGTGTAATCATGGATTTGGAATGGGCCACAGTAGCGGGGTCGGAGTTTTGGTACGTCGGGCAGTCGCAGATTTTGCGTGTCGAGCAGTACGTAATCTCCGGACTGGTACGTGACTGGGCGGCGGCGGTGGTCAGCGTTGCGCTTAGCGATGACATTTGCCTTTTTAATTGCTTCTGCGGCTCGGGTTCGGGCAGCTTGCAGAATCTCAGCGAATTGTTGTGCACGTGGCGTGGGGTTGTCCGGACTCGGCGTCATGGGCACTGTTGGATTTTGCCCGTAGTTCAGGTAAAACGGGGACTGCTGCGTCGTCGCTGACGTGGCGTTGTTGTACGCGAACTCGATCAGCGGCAGCTGCTACTTCCAAGTCGTTGGATCGTCGCACGTGGCACGAATCAACTGCTCCATCGTCTGATTCGTCCGCTCCGTTTGACCGTCGGTCTCGGGGTGGTACGACGAGCTGAACTGTAGCCTGGTCCCGAACTGCTCCCATAGGTTCCTCCAGAAATTGCTTGTGAACTTCGTGTCCCTGTCGCTGATAATTGCTGCTGGTATCCCGTGCAGGCGAACAACGGCTGCGATGAACAGGCGAGCGGTTTCCTCGGCTGAGATCGACTTCTTGCACGCAGCGAAGTGTGCCATCTTCGTCAACCTGTCAACGACGACCATTACCGCGTCGTTACCCCCAGGGTTCGAAGGTAACCCCGTGACGAAATCCATGGTAACCTGCTGCCAGGCGCGCTCAAGCGGTGGGATCGGCTGCAACTGCCCGCCATGCGCTTCCTCGAACTCTTCATCACCTGACACGTGGGACACGAGCCCACGTGCTGCTGCACGTCGGTCAACAGCTCCGGCCAGTAGTAATACCGCTGCAGTTGCTGTCGCGTTTTTTCTACCCCAAAATGTCTTGAGATAATTCCGTCGTGTGCCTCCTGCAGTAACAGCTCCCTCAGTAGTGAGTACGTCGGTACCCAAATGCGGTTGGTGCCTGTATTTACGTAATAGACTCCTTTAGCTTCTCCCAGTTGCTGTGAATTTCGGTCGTGAAAAATGGGTCGGTGCGGTATCCGTGGGTGAATAGGCCTGTTAAAAGCGGGTTGGTCTGGGCGAGTAGGATGGCATGGAGTTGGGCGGTAGGGCGGATGAGGGCGTCGGCGATATTTGATGCGCGTTTTTTGTACGTAACCGTGTAGTGGAAGTTGGACTCGAGGTAGTTCAGCCAGCGGATCTGTCTCGGATTGAGATTCGGTTGGGTGCGAAGGTTCTGTAGTGATCGGTAGTCTGTCCGTACTGTCACATCGGTGCCGGTCAGGTAACATCGCCAAACCTTGAACGCGTGCACGATCGCCAGCATCTCGCGGTCGTGTATCGGGTAGTTGCGTTCGGGCGGATGCAGCTTCTGGGACTCGTACGCGATTGGCTCGAGGCTGTCCCAAAGTCCTACAACAGTACTGCTCCCAAGGCAATGTCACTTGCGTCAGTGACGAGCTCGAACGGATGGTGCGGATCGACGATGTGAAGCACGGGCGGCGAACACAAAATTTTCTTGAGGGCCGAGAAGGCAGCTTGCTCTTTCTCCCCCCACGTGTACTCAACCCCCTTCCTCAGCAGGTCGGTCAGCGGGGCGGTCAGCTTCGCCATGTCGGGGACGAACCGACGCACGTAGTTGACGAACCCCAAAAAACTCTGCAGCTCAGTCAGATTTGTCGTCGCGTGCCAAGCCTAAATCGTCGCGATCTTCTTCGGGTCTATTTCCACTCCGTCAGCTGAAATTATGTGACCTAAAAACGCCAGTCTGTCCTGTATAAACTCACACTTGGGCGCTTTCGTCAGTAGGTGGTTCTCACTCAGTATCTTAAATACTGCTTCAATGTCCTATAAGTGCTGTGTTCTGTCGGGGTTGTAAATCAGTATGTCATCTAAGTAGACGATGGCGCACTTATCTAAAAGTGGGCGGAAAGCTTCGTTCATCGTCATATGAAAAGTGGCGGGGGCGTTGGTCAGTCCGAAGGGCATTACCGTGTATTCAAAGGATCCGTAGCGTGTTCGAAAAGCTGTCTTGGGGCAGTCGGGCGGATTGACGCGGATCTGGTGGTAACCCGCTCTAAGGTCGATCTTCGAGAAAACCCGGGCTGTGCGCAGTTGGTCGATCAGTTCGTCGGCTCGCGGGATGGGGTAACGGGACTTGATGGTAACCCTATTCAGTGCTCTGTAATCTATGCACATGCGAAACCCCCCATCTTTCTTCGGTGTAAATAATATCGGTGCTGCGAAGAGCGACGAACTGGGGCGAATGTACTCCTTCTCGAGAAAGTAATACAGCTGCTTCCTCAGTTCGTACAGTTCGGGTTGGGTCAGTCGGAACTGTCGCTGTACTGTCGGCTGTGCCCCCGGTTCTAACTCTATCCTATGGTCGTGCGGTCGCTGAGGTGGCAGTCCCGTCGGCAGGTCATCCGGAAATATTCCACTGTAACGCTTAAGGGGTGCTTCCAAGTCATCCGGTATGTCGGCAAGCAGTTTCTGTAAACCCCCCCCCCTGGTCTGCTGCCTCGGCTTCCCGAATGTCAACCGCATACACGTCAGCTCCTGCCGCTACGGCGCGCTTCATTGTGATCGCGTTGACACGCACCGACGAAGACTCAGGCGAGCCCCAGCGAGGTAAGGCGATGTTGTTACCGTTCACTCGCACGGTGCAGTCACCCGTCGTCCAGTCGATTCGCGGATTGTGCCGTCGCAACCAATCACGTCCGAGTAAAATTTCGGTTCCGTCGAGGGTTGTCGCGAGCATTTTCTGGCTAAACGTGAAGTTACCCCCGCATCGAATCCGAACCCGGTCTACGCGTTCCCGTATCGCTAGTAGCGTGCCGTCAACCAGTCTTGCGTCGATCTCAGGTAAGCATCTGTCTAGTGGAAGTTTTAGATTCCGTGCCGTGGAAGTGTTGATGAGGCTGTGGCTGGCTCCCCCGTCTAGGAATATCCTAATTAAGTCCGTCCCAATTTTCCCACTAAGCAGTATGGGGCTGTCTACCGCGGTACCCTCCTTATTCGGCCGAGTGTGGTGGACTGCATGAACCGGCACGATCGCCCCGTGAGGGTCGGTTGGGTCGGGCGAGCGGCGTGACCTGTCAGTAGAGGGCCCGTCTGCTACTGACTCCCAGTATTTCTGTGCTGCTTGGTCTGTTTCTTCTGCTCAGCTTCCCCCTTTCCCTTAGCGTTTTCCGGGCATT